AAGAAAAAATCATCCCCTAAATATTCATCCCTTAGTTACAACTCCTAACTTAATTTTTTTAATAGCACCCTGTACATTTTTTATAGTTTTATATGTGGTCTACCTACTAAACTCCCTAGAGTTTAGGTAAGTAGACCAAGGTAGGTCTTTGGCTTGAAAATCAACTAATATTTATACATAATATTACAAGATTCCAAGCCAAAAGACCAATGACAAAATTGGAAAAGGGGGGAAGGCAGGGCGATGAGCGCCAAGAGTGCTCATTGGTCACTCTAACTGAGCACTTGATGACAGTATAAGATAACCTATGCTCATAAATGCATTATTAACTGTGGTAATAAATGTTAAAAATGTTGGCCATTATGTTCAAGACACAGTTTTCAAATTATCCTATGTTCATCATTGTATATTATATTCTTGATATAAAAAAAAAACTAGTCCAGTAGAGGTAGTCCTGGATATTTTGGGGGCCATTCCATAGTACTGTATCCTATTTAACTGTCACTATAGGTATTATTCAGCACACATTTAACATTTATTGACACAGAATAATGACAAGAGTAAAACTCACAGGCTCACTGTTAGAGGACATAAGTATTCAGAAGGGTGTACAACAGAGATGTATTCTCTCACCAATACTAATCAATTTATAATTTGAATATATTCTCCTGAATAATTGGAAGATGAACATTAGATGCAAATATTAATAACATTAATATTAAAATATAGGTAGGTAGGTAGGTAGGTAGGTTAGGTGGTATACCACTAAAAAATTAACGCGATATAGAAGAGATCCAAAGTCAACTAAACTTCCAATCTAACAAAAAGATGTAGACCACAAGTCAAATTATACTAACCTGATTAATTCTTCTTATATCACTACCACATTTTTCGACAACTTTCTCAACTTCATCGTTTCTTTGTAACAATATATCGCTACTTATATCATCATCTTTTTGACACTCTTTAGCAACTTTCTTTAAAATAGGCAAATGCAACTGCACGTCTGCTAAACACTTAGTAATATCGACATTATCTGATGTTTCAAATGGATTTGCTGCAGATTCTTGATTTTTAATATTGTTTTGTTGACCTTCAGGCATAGATTTAACGCTTTCTAGTTCGGTAGCTGCTGACACATTTTTTTCTTGAGTTAAAATTTTAATTTCACCATACTGAGGGAACAGGTTTAGGTTCTTTTTAAAAAGATCATCTATTTCAGGCAATGTAATGTCTTTAAAATCCAACTCAGGTTTAGGTTTTTTGATTATATTGATATAAATAAACATTTTCTGTAGAATTTCAAACTACAAATAAAGAAAAATATAAATAACATATGGAAAACCATTACTTATAAAATTTTATATAATTTGTTAGTCAACTAATAAAAATTTTGGTCTACTGACATTGTATCACCATTCAGAGAAGACCAAAGAAGCTTCACCAGAAAACATCGAAATAATTGACCAAAAAAGATGATGTCATTTGAATAGTTTACATTAAAATAAGAATAAAGAGACCAACAGAAAAACTGAATAAAATATATTATAACTAAATTTTGATGGAATATTGTAATAGTCATCATATATGGCCTGAGATTTGGCGATTTTGAAATCAGTGTTGAAAATTAAGTGAGAATGCATTCAGAAGAAAAGATATACATACAGCTATTTTTTTCACTTGTTTAGGACATAGCCCTTGCTTTCATTTCTGAATTTAGTTGTTTTTACCACTATTGCTTCTGCATTATGTCCCCACCTGGGTTTGATAATAGTCCGATATTGTTTCATACAAAACATTATTTTTATCCCACATCTGGATCCTTATTATTATTTTTTTAACTCTCCAGAACTTGTTTACACCCTCATAAATATTTATTAGTAGAAAGAAATTTGGTATCAAACTATTCAAAATATGAAATAAAATTGAATTTATTAGACATAGTCAACACATAACTTTTTTGCATTATGTAAAATTATGCATAAATCTTGAACAAATTGTCTTAAGTTGGCAACTAAGAAACATTGGTGGGCAATGAGTTTTTGTTAAGAACTAGTTAATTGTTTTGTTAGGTTAAAGAAACTTACCTGGCCTGTGGGAGCCATATACCCGTACATAAAAGAATCTGCTTGATCTTTTGTACAAAATCCATTCTCATATATCATTTGTCCTAAAAGCTGTGGATTATCTAAAGTAACAGTAGCTTCATCATAAATTCCCAAAAGTTTTATCATCCAAGCCATTAAAAAGGGCCTGTTGGAAGCTTTGAATATATCAGCTAATTCCTCGTCAGTCATGGATTTGGCCAAAGGATATTCATATTTAAGAATATTATTTTTAATCTCTTGCAAAACTTCAGGGCGAACCATTTTAAATATAAATACCCAAACCCAACCGTCTCTTACAATCAAAACAAGACAGTTGTTGATGCTTATTATATTCCATGTAGTAATTTTCTGTACCACCTATCACAAAATTTAAAATAAAAACGTGTTATTAAAACAAAAGCCAATCAGGAGCAAGCGTCGTGCAATTTTATCGTTTTTCTCTTTCTATACTTATAAAATGAAAAGAGAAAAATATTAATCAAAACAAATTAATTCGGGGTGCAGGGAAGAGCAGGGGTTAGATTAGAAAATGGCGAGTGTTGTGTTTTATTAAATAAAGTGCAAAAATGAATACATATTTTTAATAATATAAACAAATGCGGTCGAATTTGTCCTGATAAGACACCGCCGGCTTCAGTCATATCCGAATAAGGTAAAAATCCTTTGTTTTAAACTTATAAATTTGATTTAGATGTTAAACAAAGGTTACAATACATTCAGAAAATAATTTTACTATAACAATATTTTAAATTAAATTGTACGTTAAATGCATTCCTTAAGATATTTTGACAGTTCTCTTAGAAGGTAACCTGCAATAAAATCGGCCGCTTAAATTGAGTGGAGCTATAAATCAATGTAATATTTATGTCATTCCCTCGGCTAAGATATGTTGGTTGCCTAATTTGACTGTTAGTATTTATACATGGTGACCCATAAAGTGATAATTTTTCTAAAGTAGATGATGGAAGATGTACGTAACAAATCGATGGCCTGGTTCCAAAAGTGGCTAAAGTCTTTCAAATCGAATTATTGTTTCTCTATAAAATATTAGGAATAATAAATAGTTCTTTAAATTAATCGTTTGGGGAGGGTTTTTCATAATAAAATGCATGTAACTACATTTGGAACTTAACTTTGTTTTAAATTGAAAAATGAATACTGGTTATCTACAATATTACAACTACAGTAAAATTTATAAAAAATATGTAATAAATAGATAACGGTGTAAACTTCTTGTAAAATAAATATTTCAAAAAAATCTTTTCTTTCTGGTCATTTATATCAGGTAATACCATTTATATCAGGTAATACCATGGACGTATAAACATAGATGGACACAGCAATAAGATACCTTTAACACACAATGTTTTGAAGCTTAGATAGAATGTGATGCTTCCGCAATGAGCATAAGCGTGCTTGAATTTTTACTCGCGGGTAATTATTCAGATTTTAAAAATTGGAAGTAGTAATAATGTATAAAAACACGTTCAATGAATTAAAAAAAAAACGAGAGTTTAACTATTAACAAATCACGTCTTTATAGAAAAATTAAAATACAATTTTATTTGCTTTAAAATTAATACAATTAAATATAGTTGAATTCAAGTTAATTTTTTAATAGTATCAAAATAATGCTACAATAAAAAATCTTTATGTTTTCTCCTTAATTTGCTACCCAAATAGTTCGATCGTCAATATTATTTGGAAACCTACAAAGAAAAATAAATGAGTTTTATTCATTTCACTATCTTATTTGTATCCATGAGAAATATTAAATTAAAAAGGTACTAAACAGATCTTTTTTAATCAGATGATGTTTACTTACAATTTATAAATGTCTACTAATTTCATGAACTCATATCTTATTCAATACATGAATGAACATGAATAAACCCAATGGTACGCCTATTAAAATGTAAACAAACACGCTTCCTCATTTCCTCATCTTAAATAATGTAAATTGTATGTACTTACAAGTGAAATGAGAGATCGGGATGTAAATATTTCGTTTATTTTATTTCACTTTTCAGAAATATCACTCAAAATACAGCCAAAATATCAAAAAATAACTTTTCCTCATCTACTGTAAAAAGTAAACAAACATGGAACAGCATTTGAAGTTTGACGTAGATCCATAAGACAGAGAAATGTAAACAACCGTTGCTATTTATAAATAGTTTTCAGTGCTTCTACATATAAAATAATTGATTGATATCTATTATACGCTATTAATAAATGATAATGCACACTATGTGCATACTTGATATTTTGATTACAATTAAATATATTAATCTAACCAATAAATTATTATTTTGGTTTGATAGCACCTGTAGAGTATAAAATACGGAGTAATATTTTCAGCCACTCGCGAATAACAAATTTTAAAACAAAAAGTGACAGCAGTTGAAGGTGCTGAGAATGTGACCTATTCAAATAATTTTGACTACACAATTTTATGTAAATAACTGAGTGTATTTGTGTTTATACGTCCATGGTTTTAACTTATTTTGAAAATTTTTTCATTCTAAATACATGTGCTATTACTCTTATAAATATTAAAGTATAGTATTCTTATTAACAATTACTTACCTTCAGCATGATGGACAATTCCATCGACGTAAATTGACCGATTCGGAACAAAAGTTTCATTATTACTTAAATCCGCTTTTAGTCCTAAATTTAATATTCTTTCCGCCCTGGAACTCATTTTACAACACTAACAAACACTAAAATATACCTGAAATGTGAAACAATCTTATGTAAAATGAATTAGTTCTTGTGTCACCATAATCTATGTTGTTAGATTTGATGTATATTCAACAATTTTTGTAATGTACGTGTTTTTTACTTTTAGTCATAATTTTAACGTTAGTTTCTTTTTCCAGATAAATAATGACAAGTCCATCTCCACAGAATAGTCCCATGCCACCACCACAAGCTCCAAGCCCCATGGGGCCTCCCGTACAAAGTCCAGTCCCTCCACACTCACCCCACAGCCCTTATCAGTCACCAATGGGCCACATGAATGGTCCACATGGTTTACCTCCAATGTCTGCTTCAGGTCACTCAATGCCTCCTACTTCAATGTCAAATTCAACCCACGCTTTACCACCTCATATGTCACCTCATGGACCACCACATCATCCTCATAGTGGTCATCACCCTGGGCCTTCTGTATCACCTGTTGGCCCTCCTCATGGTCCACCTCATGGACCTCCACACGGACCACCTGGAGGACATCATGGTCCACCCGGTGGTCCATATGTTCCTTCAAGTAGTGTTCATGGGCAAGGAGGTGGTCCACATGGCCAAGGAGGTGGTCCACATGGCCAAGGAGGTGGTCCACATGGCCAAGGGGGTGGTCCCCATGGCCAATCTAATGTTTCACATGGACCACCTAGTGGTCCCCATTGTTCTCCTGTTGGACCTCATGGTGTACCTCATGGACAATCTGGAGGATCCCATGGTCAACTCGGAGGATCTCACGGTCCTTCTGTAGGGCCACATGGTCAATCTTTGGGACATCATGGACCACCAGGAGGTTCTACGCATGGAGTACCTAGCGGATCATCACATGGAGGACAATCACATGGTTCACCAAGTGGAGGACCTTCAGATGGACCTTCTCATGTACCTCCCCATCATGGGGCACCACCTACTGGGCCTCATGGTCACCCTGGTCCTCCAATACAATCTGGTGGCTTATTACAAAGTCATCATGGACCACATGATATGTCACTGATGGGATCTTCACATGGAGGAAATCAGCCACAACAGAATTATCCTTCGCATCCTTCTCCCGTTTCTCTTGGTCATCCTCAGCACAGACAGGTAAGAAAGAATTACAGTAAAAAAATAGTTTATTATAAAAAACATTCACTGTACATTTTTGTTCTAATAACTATATAAAAATTTATTTAATTTCCAAAATATATAAACATTAAGGATGAAATTTGGTACCATTTTTCATGTCCCTTAAACGTTCATCATCAGCTTTTCTTTCAATCTCCATGAATTTGTCTGACAACTCTTGTGTCGACGTTGCCAAAAAATTCGGATCCATCAGCTTGAATTCACAACCTAAAACATGTTCAAATTATACATAATTGTGATGAAAACACTTATTTTAGAGACCTATTAATTCTTTACTTTATTCCTCTACATTTGATTCATAATCTGGAAGGATTATTACCTTTAGAGTCACAAACTACGCCTCCAGCTTCCCTAACTATAAGAACTCCAGCTGCTGCATCCCAAGGATATAATCCATCACACTGGTAAGCATCTAGTCTGCCTGAAGCTACATAGCACAGTCCCATCACTGCTGAACCCAATGAGCGAAAACTAAAAAGAAATAATTCATTACTCTCTCACCTCTGAATCAGTATTTATAAATCGTGATGTTGATTTTAATTAGCATTTTTTTACTTTAACTATTTACTTTACATAACTACTATTTTTGTGTGTTGTTTTTTAAATTTAAATTCTATTGTGTATGCTTCCTTTTCTCCTTAGAGTTGTCCATTGAATTCATGGACTTTTTTTTATAAAAACTAGTAAAAATGTTAAGAACCCAAAAAGTATAAGAGCTCATAAAAAGTAGTAGGATATTTACTTATCTTACTTATAAATTAACTTATACATATAATTAGGCAAAAAATAATAAACATACATGATTTCTACTGTTACTTTGAGTAAAAATGTTAGTGTTATTTTAAAGTAACCAAAATTCATTCCAGAAGAATATGGTCAAATTATAAAGTAAAAATTATTCAGGTGAATAGTTCTTAGGTAAATATTAAATGTTCTTTAGTAAAAGGATCTGCCTTAGGAAGTAATCTAGACACCGATGTCCATAGTCTAAATTTTTTACAAGTTCGTAATCAACAACTTAGCTGCACTACCCCTCTCCGTCTCTATTCCTCTTACCATATTATGATTATGATTAATATTTTATGGAATTTATCTGTTCTATTATTTGACCCTTTGCATACACATGTACGTTTATTGGTGCCTTTGAAAATACCAAAGTTTTAGTTTTGGAAACGTTTAGATGTAAACCGAACATTTCGTTGTGCTGAACTACTGCACTTATTATATTTTGTAGTTCTTGTGCGTTGCTTGCTATTAATAGCAACGCAATGCAGTACCATCAGCATATCTGATGTTGTTTATGCTGATTCCGTTAATCTTAATTCCGCCTTGGACCTGGTCTAATGCTTCTCTGAATATTGTTCTTAAATCTGACCATATATTGTCTCTCCATCGCATTCGTGGACGTCCTAAGGGCGTTTTTACTGTGGCGACTTCCTTCCATATTAACTTGGCAAGGTTATTAGGGAGTCTATGGAGTCTATAGGGCCAGCCCATCTTAGACGTTGGGATTTAATCTTTTGGACTATGTCGCTCGCTCTATACATCTGCCTGACCTCAGCATTTGTTCTCATTTGGTATTGGTTGCTATTAATGTCGTGATAAGGCCCAAAGATTCTTCTGAGGATATTCCTCTCAAAACATCTATGTTTTCTTTCAGTTTCCTTGGTCGGGGTCCACGTCTCACACCCATAAATGAGCACCGCTCTAATTACCGTTTTATATATTCTAATTGTTAACGTTCGTGTTAGGCTTTTAGATTTAATATTATTGTGGAGGCTGTACATATATCTGTTTGCTGCCTGAATTCTTCCTTTAATTTCTTCCGCGATATCGTTATCTGCAGTGATTGTTGCTCCGAGATATTTAAAACTCTCCACTCTTTCAAAGTTATATGGGTCTAGCCCATACGCCCAGTGCCATTAACAACATAGGAAAGTGTGAAGCCAGTTACACCTTCTTCTTTCACAATTTTCCTATTTGACATATAATCATAGACCACATTCATTAAGATACCTGGATACTACTGTTAAGCCATTGAAAGGATTCCGGATGTCAAACAGTAGTAGTACCGCACATTTATTGTCAGTGTTTTTCACTGAACTTTTCATTTTAATTCCAAAATATACCCGTTTCAAAGAAATATTTAGATACTTGGCAACACTGCAGTGCATTTAATGTTAGGACCTCGATCCTTTCCGCTTGACGGCCAGAAAAGGACTGAATTCTGTAGAATAATATCCAATTTAGGGAAAGCGCAACAAGCTATTTTTCGCTTGTTGTACTGTACAATTAATACCTTATTTTTACTAATTAATACAAAATTAGATTAGTATATTATACTCACCCATTGATAATTTGGATTAGATATTTCAATCTGTACATGTACAGTTCATAGTATTTTGGATTTCTTGCTAAGGAGAGTTCGTAGTTAAATACTGCCTTCATTATATCTAAAACATAGCAATTAATTAAAAAAAATTAAGTAGATACCGGGTGGTGGTCCAAAGCTCAATAGAAAACGCAATGTTTTTAGAATATTGTTCGAACTTCTTTCAGGTATTGTTCTGAAGCTTCTATACTGGCGTTGTATTACTTTTTTCTCTACAGTAAAATGCTGAGACGAGCGTCACGGAACAGCGCCACGAGAAGGCATCGTCACGGGTAGCGTCATAGATTACGGTTTTTGACATCGATTTTTAACTTTTACCTTGTTCGCTTATTAACAAAATATCGCTTACCTGTTTCTTTGCTGACATATATTCGTTTTCCATTGAGATATGCTCCCTGGTCCTTAATAGCTGAATACAATTCATCTAAAAAGGGATTGAACACTAGTCCCATTGTTTGTACTTTGTTTATCACTAATCCTACTGAAACGCAGGAATCCTTTAAGTTTCTTACGAAGTTTGCAGTGCCATCTATCGGATCTATGATCCATGTTGGATTATCCGTTAATGTTCCTATGCCGTTCACGTGAGATTCTTCTTCTCCAATAAAACTGAAAAAAAATAATAAATTGTAGTTTTTGTTTCGTGTTAATTATCATGCAAATCGGACTAAATTGTTCTTTGAGGGTCGCTAATTTGCAATACCGTAAACCTGGGTAACTTTGTCCCTGCCAGGGATTACCAAAAAAGTTTCATTTTAGTTTACATATGAATTAAAAAAACGTGTTTACAAATGGAGCACCAGGGTTTTACTACTTGCTTATTGTAACAAAGTCTCCCTACATGTAGAATCAACTTGTTCTTCCGTTTTTGTTTACACTGACGCTAGGCGCACACACATCAAATTTGGACGGTCGATAAAAGCCTCACTGCACTGGACTAAAAAACATTCTACTTTTACTTTATCCAATCCATTTAAAATGACGATTACTAAAAGTTGTAAAATTAAATCGTTGCTTCGAAAACTCGTTAATGTTTTATAACTATTGCAAAAATCAATCTAGATATTGGTTATTGCGCCAAAAGTTGGGTATTGTAATCCTTAACAAACCCCCAAAATTTTAGATAGATATGTCAATTAGTTTTCAAGTCTATTTGTTCATCCCAGAACTTTTTTTGCAATAAAATTAGTCAAAAATTAATGAAAAGACGGTAATTCTACGCATTTCGAATGAAAGTTTAAAAGTTAAACTATTAATATATATCAAAAAGGTTAAAAACAGTGATACAGAAGACATTACTATAGACTAGCGCGAAGCTTTATACTTTGTATTTTTTAAATTTTAATATTTTTAACGTTCGGTAAAATAATTTTATTATTTGCTATTTTTATAGATTTTAATAAAATTGAAAAAGTTTACATGTTGTATAACGGTCACTCCTTCGTCAAGTAAATGGACTCTTCCAATTGTTTACTGTGACTACTAGTTCGTAAAAAGCTATATTCAGTTTGTGCTAATTTAGAAACCTCTTCCAAAAGATAATTATAAAAGTTCAACTTAAAATGTTTTGCTAATAATAACTCTTTTTGCCACACTTTAATATAATTTTTGAACTAATAATTGTAAAAATTCGACAATATATTTATACGAAATTATTTTAGAATGAGAAGTGTAAAGAATAAAAACTAAAGCCTGATTACATAATGACAACCTAAATTAAACCTTAACTAATGTTCACTTTAGACTAAACAATTAGAACAACTTTTAGGCTATTACTTGTATTTTTTTTTATAGACGAAATATTTTTTCATATTTTAAAGTGTGACAGTTTTACACGAAATTAAACAAAAAACAAATATACTACAAACATTAGGTAAAAAGAAGGAGTAAGATTAAACTTAGACAACATTTTCTGTGAGTGTTAAAAATAAGGCTGAAATAAAGATTAGTTGGACCGTGTTTATTTTTATGAACGAGAGAGTAATTAGCATAATTTTAACTGGTATCTCCGACCACTCCATGGGCGTGCTCAAGATTGATTGAAAAATTACTTTGAATAATTGTAAAAAATAAATGAATTATTTCAGTGTTATAAAGTGTTATGTGTATGTAAACAAAAGTGACCTCTTTTATCACACACTATATTAGAACTGACTGGCCTACATTAAAAAGGGTTTTAAAAAATTCACATTTTTTTTTAATTTTTAAAAATTACAAAAGAGAAAAAGAGTTTTTAAAACCGTCTAAGGTATGTTAAATAGATGAATAAAAATATTAATATAAAACTTACAGCTACTTGTTACAAATCCAAATCAGATTCAGAAGATGAACTTTCAGAACCAAGATTTATAATAACTGGCTCGATCATTTTATCAGTAATATTGTCCAGCTTTCACATTTTTTCCTCTTCTTCAATAGTGTGATTTACTGCCTTTTCCCAGTTTTCAGGTTTTACATTATTAACGGCCTCCAAAAACAGCTGTTTAACATCATGAATTTTAAAAGTGGTATTTTTTTTTGAAACTTCACTCTTTATCTGTGCCCATACCAGTTCAATCGGGTTTAATTCACAATGATATGGTGGGGATCTAAGTACTGTCATTCCACGATTTTTGGCAATTTCATCAATTTCGTATTTTTTAAATTTTTCTTTATGAAGGGCACACAACGAATAAAGTTCCTTTCTTATAGATCCGGGATGGTACGTAATATTTTTTGAACTCAGCCAATTCTGCAAGTCTTTTTTTAACCACTTGGTTGTGGGCAGTCCTTCTATAAGTCTGGAGTGATAACTTGCATTATCCATTACTATTACACAGTTCTTAGGAAGAAGATCTATAATTTGTTCGAACCATTCTTGAAAGACATCAGCGTTCATGTCTTCATGGTAGTCACCGGTACGAGTTGATTCAAAAGTTAATAAACCACCTTCAACAAAACCGTCCGAACTGCCAATGTGTACTATTATCAGCCTGCGTCCCTTTCCTGATGGTGGGTTTAAACCAGTAGATAAGTTATTTACAAAAGCGTGCCTTTGACTTGTAACAGTTTCATCCTGCCAAAATTTATTTGGTGTATGACCCTCGTTGATCCATGTTTCATCAAGATAAAATATTTTTCTTTTTTGGTTTCTCATTTCCTTTATGGTTCTTAGAAAATGTCTTCTCCATATGACAATATCGCATCTTTCTAATAAAATAGACTTTCTGGGATTCTTTTTCCGGCGGAAGTCTATTTCTTTTAAAAGTTTCCATAACGTACTTCGACTCATTTCTGGGTAATCCTTATCATCTCGAACTGAGACAAGAACTTTATCCAATGTTGGAAATTCTTGTCTAAAGAAGAATTCATGCACTTTCCGTCGAAGTCCTTCTTTAAAATGATATTCTATTTGAAATTTTGGTTTCCCTGGAGCATTACGTGGCATTTGAAAACTACCACATTTCTCTTCTTTAATAACTCTGTAAATCGTAGATTTCCCAACACCAAGTGTACTGCTAACTAACTCAACGGTCTCATCAACACTTTCACATAAACGTTTGTCTGTAAATGATTTAAAACAATTAAATATTAATGTTTTTTCATTAACTGTTAAAGGACCAATTTTTCGGCGTTTACACGGCACTTCCAAATTTTCCATAACATTAGTACACACAATAAACTGTACCTTGCAACTGAAGTACCCACTTTTAGTGAACTGTTAAGAATTTTGAATACGCCACTTGGACCTTCCTACAAAATGGAAAAACCCACTATCACATTTTCTGTGAAATAAGTTTAGAAGGTAATTATCTAGTCAATTACTGTCGTAGATTCCTGGAATTAAAGAATTAAATGTTTGATTGTTGAAACCCTTACTTCGTGGAAAGCACTCATTTCAGATAAAATAAAACGTTTTATTTTATCTAAAGAATTAAACTTTATTTTGCAAATAGGTAGGTACTTATTAAACTTTTATTGGTTATATATAACCAATAAAATAAACATCTTACATTTCTTGCAAATTCATTAGTACCTATTAACCTCTATCACTCCGACACTGGCAACCTTATTTAGGGATTAGTAACCCTCACAACTATTGTATTCTATTCTGCTCCAACCTTTATACCTGGTGGCCATACTCAATTTAAAATTGTTTTCCTATATACTTCTGTAAACTTGTTGACAAATATCTGTTTTTCATTGAATCACCCGTATCAACAGTTTAGGGATTTGCATACATAATTTATTGTTTTATTACTCTCTCATACATAAAAATACACTATAAGGGGGAACTGAAAATTCAAGCGTTTAAAAATGTTAACGAACTTCGAAATACTGTTTCTTTATCTCCTGTTCTTTTTGTTAAAATTTTGATCTTTTGTTTAATTCTTATGTATTTTTTACGTACATTACAAATACGCAATGTTTTACTAATATTATTTTAGTTTAAACAATGTAATTTTTTTACACAGTTAAAAAAATATATTTTTCCCAAAAAAATTCTAATTTTTATTCTATGTAATCTTCTACTGTACAATATAACTTTAAATATTTATCTTTAAAATGAAATTAATTACATTTTTTAAATTGTTATAATCAAATTAGCTGCGAATTAAAAAATAATTCCTACTTTTTATTAATCGTCCCAGAATAATTTTCTATTTCTTTCAAATTTGACTAGAAATTGTCATCTTTTCGAATAGGTATTAAAAAACCGTAATTTTGCAGAATGATTTTGCGTTGCAACTTTTTTTCACTTTTATTAATACATATTGATAGTTTAAGTGTTAAACTTTCATTTGGTATACGTAGAATTCCTTATCTTCATTATTTTGCACTCTTGGAAGCAACAAATTAATTTTACATCTTTTATTAATCCCCATGTTAAACCTTTTTTATGTTTTAGAAGATAAAGGTGTATAATTTTACCCCAAATATTAAACTTTATAGCAAAAAATCAGAAAGATGAAAGACTTTTGGGAATATTTGAGCGTAAAATACTCCGCAAAATATTTGGAGCTGTAAACGATCAAGGGCAGTGGCGCAGAAGTTATAATTTTGAATTGTATCAGCTCTTTGATGAGCCAGATGTCATAACGTTCATTAAAACACAGCGACTTAGATGGGCTGGCCACATAATACGAATGCCAGAAAATACCATTGCTAAAAAGCTAACCACAGGAACACCTGTAGGAAAAAGAAGTAAAGGCCGACCGCGAATTAGGTGGTTAGATGGAGTAGAAACCGACTTACGAATATTAAAAATCAGAAGATGGCAACATGTTGCCAAAAACCGAACAGAATGGCGACGAATCTTAGAGCAGGCCAAGATCCACAGAGGATTGTCGAGCCAAAGATGATGATGATAGCAAAAAATCGAAAAAAATGGCATTTTGTACACTAAATTGTTAATTATTAAAAAAAGACGACGAAATCCATGCAAAAAAGGTCTAGGTTTTCGGGTATTAGTATAATTTTTTCCTTTGTTTCTAAAATTTGTTGAATTTCCACTTAAATTAAGTTGCTTAATACCTACAGAAGTTACAATCGGTCAAACATATCAAGCACTCGTATACATGTTTTAAAGCATGTTTAAATACAGTTGAAATTTTTCAGAAGTTAGTTTT